CCTTCGATGTAGGCAATCCACATGCTCACCCCTTTGGCAGACCCTGGGACTTTCTCATTCTGTATAACTGGCCTCACAGCAGCAAAAGAGGGCGAGACTCAGCCTGCGGATCCACTCCCTTTCCTGACAGAATCTAAAGGGGCCACTTCATAAAAACAGATTTCTTTTTCCTTCATGGTGCTGCAAAGAAGTATCCAATCTCCATGAAATAGTAAAGAAAATGTAATCTTGCAGTGGCATCCTGTCCATGGGGGCTGTGTACGGCAGGGCCTGTGCAGTCCCCAGGGTATTGCTGACCTAGGATCAGGACCACACCAACCCATTTCGTCTTCTTCTGCCTCTCTTGAATATATAAGATGCCATGAACCTTCCACTTCAGTCTTTCCAGTATGTGTTTAAAAATCACGAATCCTGGAATATTCCTTGGCTAAAAAGAGAGGGTTGTAAGGTCAGATGCTGCTTTCATAGAGGTTTGTAATATTCTCAAGCACAGTAAAGGATCTGAGAATACTTACAGTGAAAAATCCTACTTAACTTCTGACTGTACCACCTATTAATTCTGTAGCCAGTGGTGACAGTGGCTTGAGCCTCTAATCCCAGCAATTTGGGAGGCTGAGGCAGGAGGATACTTTGAGGCCAGGAGTTTGAGACCAGCCTGGACAACACAGAGACAACCCTGTCTCTAAAAATAATGAAAACAGCCAGGTGTGGTGGTGTGTCCTGGTCATCAGGTGGCTGAGGTGGGAGGATCGTTGAGCCTAGGAGTGCAAGGCTACAGTGAGCTATGATCATGCCACTGCACTCTAGCCTCCATAACAGAGGCGGCAACCTCGTCTCTCAAAAGAAAAAGTAGCCATACACAAATTACTTAGTCTCTTTAAGCCTCAATTTCTCCATCCCTAAAGAAACAGGGATATATTATTATCTGTATCTTAGGTTGTTGTGAAGATTAAACATATAAGCATCTAAAAGGCTTTGCTTAATGCCTTGCAGATGGTAAGCATTCCATTGTGAACTGTTAGTATCAATATCCCACTGACCAAATGTTCTTTGTAACATACGTACTCTGGGATTAAATTACTCACATATGGCCAGGTGTAGTGACTCACACCTGTAATCTTAGCACTCTGGGAGGCTGAGGTAGGTGGATCCCCTGAGCTCAGGAGTTTGAGACCAGCCTGAGCAAGAGTGAGACACCACCACCCCCCCACCCCCCGTCTCTACTAAAAATAGAAAAACTAGCCCAGTGTTGTAACAGACACCTGTAGTCCCAGCTACTCTGGGGGCTGAGGCAAGAGCATAGTCTGAGCCCAAGAGTTTGAGGTTGCTGTGAGCTATGATGCCCTGACACTCTACTCAGGGCACAGAGTGAGACTCTGTCTCAAAAAAAGAAAAAAATTCCTCTCATATTTTCAGGGGGACAATTTCAGTATTAA